GTTTATACAACCCAGGATTGTAGTAGCTTTTTTGGCGGCTGCCCACTGCAGGCTCATAGTCAAGTGATCGTCCACTAGTTGAAGTCAACTTTTCATGATATACAGCCATGGAGATGGGAAAACCTTGGCCTGCTAACGTGGAGAACCAGAGATGAAAGAGGTCAACGTCACACACTTCTAAGCCTTTTAACAATCATGCTTTCCCCAAATTTTGCATGGTCTCTCAGTTTTAAGGGACAGGGAAGGCACCTGAGCAGGAGTGAAGTGTCCCTGATACAATGTGAAAGCTCCTTCTCATTTGTTCCTCATCCTCCCTGTTCCTCTTTAGGGTGCATTCTGGGGCATGATGGGAGGACTAGCCATAGGCATGGCCCGAATGATCCCAGAATTCGTCCATGGAACAGGGAGCTGTCTCTTCCCAAGCACCTGCCCTCGCCTGATCTGTGGAGTCCACTACCTTTACTTCGCCATTATCCTATTCTTGGCTACAGCTGCCATTGCAGTGGGGGTCTCGCTCTGCACTTCTCCGATTCCTGATAAGCATGTAAGTTCAGGGGGAGTTTGGGGGGGAGAGGAAAATAATGCCAGTGCATTGAAATGCAGGTAGTCCTCGACTTACGACCTCGGTACCAAAATTTCCCCTGCTAAGCAAGTCGGTTGTTAAGTGACTCGTGCCTGATTTTATCACCTTTTTTGCCACGGTTGCTAAGCGAATCACCACAGTTGTTATCAAGTGGTTGTTAAGCGAATTTGGCTTCCCCCATTAACTTTGCTTGTTGGAAGCTGGTTGGGAAGGTTGCAAATGGTGATCACAGAACACTTCGGTTGTCATAAATACAGGCTGGTTGTCAAGAGCCAGAATTACACAGCTGTAGGAACGCTGCGATTGTTGCAAGTGCAAAAACTGGTTGTAAGCCATTGTTTTCGGTGTCATTTTAACTCTGAATGTCACTAAATGAATGGTTGTTGAGGACTAGCTGTACCTCTTCTGAGACAAGGACCTAAAGGGAGCTTTCTAAGAGTTGTGCCTACTTCCCTTTCAGACCTCCAAGTCATAGAGACAGTGGCCCAGAAAGGCCGCCTCTCTTTTATATACTAAAAGAGGACTAAGAAATCCGCAAGAGTCAGACATCTCCTATTTCATGTTATAAACTATAGCTTGGGACAATACATTAATACAGAATGTTTGTTAGTATGGGTGTAAGTACATAGTATGTGTTCCATCCATCCATCCATCCATCCCCTCTTTCTTTCTCACTCACACACACTGTTCTGGATCAGCCAGTTAGATGAGAACTGTATGTTAGAATGTTTGGCCTTTATAGGGTTAAGCGCTGTCTCCTTATGAGATGGCTTATGGATAATATAGTTTAGCTATTCAGTGAATCCCACGTTAACAAGTCAGTAGGAGGAGCTACTAAGTTCATCACAGGATATCCTGGCTACATGTCAGCTCGTGCCTTTTGTCTTTGTGAGGAACCAACCATACCGCACGCATGGGCACCAAGGCTAAATTGATTATGGAGCAATTACTGATTTTACCTACAAAGACGAACAAATATGTTACATCCAGATGAAACTACTGAAACATGAGTTCTGCCAGTATTCCTGAATAAATATTTGTTTTATAATCATCTTTGCTGAGTTATCTGTCTGGCCTTGAATTACAAAGCATCTTGATTCAGGTTCCAGAACACACACACACCTGAATTCAGTACATTTTTAACCAAGTCTGAATTAGCTTTTAATTTCGGGGGGGGGGGAGAGCTTTTCTTCTCTCTCCCCTCCCAATATTCCTCTAATCTCAACAGTCCATCTGCTATCTCATCTTCTAATTGGACCCTGGTTTTCTGGGACACACATTCTTTCAGGGCCCTAAACTGGTCCACAAACCTCTTTACCGGCAACTGAATTATTTACAAGTTGTTCTTCATAGGCACTAACAGGGATGCCAAAGAAAATGAGGGATGATGGTATCAGGTAGATTCCTGGAAATAGACCCGGAATCACTCACCTCCCTCCCTCAGGAATGGATCACTTGACAATTGATTGGCAGTCATTTATAGAGCTAATCTTTTCCCGTTTGTTGCCCATCTTGAGTTGGGCAACCGTTCCCAGGACCCCCTTCCCCACCCAATCATTCTGTTTCACCGTTTGTGCCTCTCAAAACTTCCGTTCTGCCAACCTAGCTGCATCGCCTGGTATTCAGCCTCAGGCACAGTGAGGAGACACGGGTCGATCTGGATACGGAAGAGGAGGAGGAGGAGGAAGCAAAACAGCATAGACAGCAGCAAGCAGAGAATGCAGCCACCAGGAACGGAAGACCAAAGTCGGTCCTGGAAATGGATGGTGAGGGGATGTTGTGTGTTTATTTATTTGGCTTATAATTCTCCTTCATTCAGGAGCTCAAAGCAGAGCCCGTTTGGTGTAGTGCAGAGGTAGGCAACCTTGGCTCTTTTATGACTTGTGGACTTCAACTCCCAGAATTCCTGAGCCAGCATGGCTCAGCTTGAAAATTCTCCCTTTCCCCTCAGCATGTCTGGCTCAGGAACTCTGGGAGTTGAAGTCCACGAATCATAAAAGAGCCAAGGTTGCCTATCCCTGGTGTAGTGGTTAAAGTGCTGGCTTAGAATCCAGGAAACGATGCATTCTAGTCCCGCCTTAGGCAGGAAAGCCAGTTGGGTGAGTTTGGCCAATCACCAGGAGACTGAGAGTTCTAGTCCCGCCTTAAGACATCAAAGCTGGCTGGGTGACTTTGGGCCAATCACTCTTTCTCAGCTCAACCCACCCCACAGGGTTGTCGTTGTGGGGACAAAGAGGAAGGAGAAGTATTATTGCCAAATTGAGTTACTTACAAAGTACTTTTATTATTTTTAAAGTACCTTTATAGCAATAAAGGCTATTATTTTTTAAAGTACCTTTATAGCAATAAAGGCAGGATAAAAATTAAATAAATAAAATAGGAGTCCTTTTTCCTTTGAGATAGGCTGGGTGGGAGAGCATGACCAGTCCAAAAATCATCTAGTGAGGATAGACCTGAATCTGGGTCTCCCCAATGCCAGTCCAACCCCTTAAACACTACACCACACTAGTTCTTACATGGTATTATTTGGGAAGCAAGATGCAGCCTTTCTAAAATACACATCCAAACAATCCAATGTGTCCCCAAATTTTCTTAGTGTGCATGTGTGTGTGAGAGAAACTTTCCTTTTGAGTTTGCCCTTGTCACAATTTCACAATCATCACAATGTTTTGAGAGAACTCTTAACCTCAGATGCCTCTTCCCTCTCCACTCAGATCCCAAAACAATGACCTCCTGTGGCCGGCTAAGCCAAGGCCTGGCCTGGTTTTGTGGAATGAATTCCGGCAGCCCAAAGGAGCCAGAACTGAACCCAGAAGAGAAGGACAAGGATCTCCAGCATCTGGCAGGCATCACAAAGCACACGCTGTGGAAACAGGTGGTCAACACCAATGCTATGATCATGATGGCTCTAGCCATCTTCATGTGGGGCTACTATTCCTGAGGATCCTCAACAGCTCCATAGAATATGTTACTCACCAACCCCTCCAGGTACATCCCATCAACCCATCAGCCCCAGAGGAACAACAGGAGCAAAAAGATGGAATCAGAAATAGGAGGGACTTCACAACTGTCATCTGATGCCATCATCCAAGTCCCAAAGATCTAACTACGACATCCAAGTCAACATTCATCAAAACTCATCACAACTAACTCTTTGGACAGTCATTTTAAGTTATGTTACATCATGAAAGAGACAAGCCACTCAGAACTGTTGACAGCTGGAATTAGGGAGAAACTCATCCTTCTTCTTAAGTGTCGAGATGACAAGGAATGTTCAGTTTTCACAGTCTTAGAAACCATGTCAGGCAGGAAACACCAAGGCCACCTGCTAAATTCCAAATTAAACTGATTTATTGGTTGTACCTATGCATGGGAATCTGGTCAAGTATGGGTTAGCACCATTTTGGTGCTAAATAAGGGTTAATGGGATTCAAGAGAGGTTAGACTCAGTCTATGTGTGGATATGTACGACTCTAGGCCAATTCCTCTTTTGACTCCATTCCCCCGGGGCTCTGCTATGTCTTCTCCTACAACATTTTCTTCCTTATTGTAATTTCACAACTGGTCACCTAAACTATCTCTAATTATGATTATATATAATTTTCCAGACTGCGTGTTTATCATGATATGCTTGCCTCAATGTCCCTCACAAATATTTATGCTCCCCAACTTTATGCACCTCCCATGTTCTCCACTTATTCCACTCTTCAATATTGCTTCATATTCCATCTCATCCCTTTCAAACTTTTGGAAAAGAGAGAGAGAGAGAGAGAGAGAGAGAGAGAGAGAGAGAGAGAGAGAGAGAGAGAGAGAGAGAGAGAGAGAGAGAGAGAGAGAGAGAGAGAAAACAAACTGTACATTCAGAATAGGGAAGAAAACAAACGAATCATAGCATCCATGTATACTAGACAGGAGACAAGGGAACAGACATGAAATAAAGTGGATATACTTCTCTTTGGGGTACAAAATCAAATTTGTGAGGTAAAAATCTATGTAAACAAAAAGACTTCCCCATACTGAACAAGGCACATACTGGATACCAGCTTGGAAAGGCAAAATCAAGGAGTACATGTAGTCCTCATTTAGCAACTGCCTCAGACGGTGACCATTTGCCATTACAATAGGGATGCAAAAGTAACTGCAGCCGAGCCTCGCATTTATGACCTTTGCAGGTCTGTAAAGCAAAGAAAAGCTGAGGTAAGATCATAAGCACAGTTGTAATTTATTTAACAGCCACTCCAATTAACGACAAGTGATCAGTCCCTACTGTGGTTGCTAAATGAGGATTACCTATCCAATTCAATACACATCTCTTAGTCTTGCAGGGATGCTATGAAGGTATACATTAGCTTTATCCCTCAAAGGCAAAATATGTAAACACTTCATCACATTTTTAAAAAAAATAATTGGAAAGAAATTTTACGTTGTCAGCACCTCATCTTTATTTTACAGTTAAGGAGTGGTAAACTGAGGCAAGGCAAATCCAAATCTACAGTTGTTTTTGTAAAAGACAACCCCAAGGATCTCCTCCTTTTCTATGATTGAATAAATCAGGTTCTTGGCATAAAAATTCTTCCAGAATCAGAATCAGAGCATTTTCTTCTCAGCGCTGAGCCACTCTATCCGCCATTCCTCAGGGCCCAGAAGGTTTCGACTGGTTACCCATCCAGCAGATGTCAGTCCTTGGAAGCACAAGGGAACCCAAAGTGAACAGAAAGGATTGGGTATATCTATAAACACTGCACCCTAACCTCGGTTTCTATCTTTCTGGGCAAAGTACAAGAGATACAAGTGTAAAGCCGAGGTGGCGCAGCAGTTAGAGTGCAGTACTGCAGGCCACTTTAGCTGACTGTGTTCAGCAGGTCAGCAGTTCAAATCTCACCGGCTCAAGGTTGACTCAACCTTCCATCCTTCCGAGGTAGGTAAAATGAGGACCCAGATTGTTGGGGGCAATGTAAATATATATATACATTGCTTACTGGTGTACACCGCTTAGAGAGTGCTTGCACTTAAAAGCGGTATATAAGTCTCATAAACAAACAAACAAACAAACAGCATTAGAAATTCAAAACTACAGTAGTCCTCACCCATTGCCACAGGATCTGCAACTCCGTCGCAAAGTGACTAGATTGTTAACTGAAAAATCATGTGACCACCTTTGAATTACAACGCAAGATTGTCCATGGAGAGTCTCAATCATCCGGGTCATGGTTGTTCCAAAAGTGCTTTTTCAAAAGGCAACTGGACTTTGTTTTTCTCTGAGGATGTTTCGCTTCTCATCTAAGAAGCTTCTTCAGCTCTGACCTTGGATGAGAAGCGAAACGTCCTCAAGGAAAAACGAAGTCCACTTGCCTTTTGAAAAAAGCACTTTGGGGACAACGGGAGTTTGTCATTTTTGGCTGTGGCTATTAAGTGAATCACCACAGGTTGCGAAGTACAATGACACTGTGATTTGTGACTTCTGCCAGCTTCTCCGTTGACTTTGTCAGAAGCCAGCAATGAAGGTCACAAATGACATTCACGTGAACCCAGCATGTCTGCAATTTTGAGGACCTATCGTTAAGTCTTGTTCAGCACTGTCATAAAGTCAAACAGCCACCGAACAAAGGGTGAGTAAGTGAGGACTTCCTATATCTGGTTTAATTAAAAAAAAAATTGGGCAGAGCTGCGACTGACACTCAGAAGCACTCCCAGAGTGCTGGGAAAAGCTTTGAACAAGGATGATTTCATATCTTCAAAGGACTCTGGAATCTTCTGTTGCTCTTTAGGGCTGCATTAATCAGCTTTTCTCAACCTTGGCTACTTGGAAGATGCGTGGACTTCAACTCCCAGAATTCCGTAATGGCTGAGGAATTATGGGAGGTGAAGTCCACACAACGGTCAAGTGGCCAAGGTTGAGAAAAACTGATTTAAATCTTTCCCTTTTAGTCAGCACTGGGGGGGGGGTGGCAGTGTGCCCTCAGAGGTCATGTAAGACACTTTTGTGGTTGCTGGAGGTTACTCTGATCACCTGCTAAAAGCTGAGGGCATCATTTCCCCCTATTTTGAGGTGGAAAACACACGAGAGCTACTAAAAGAGGCATTATCATAATTAAAGAGCAAACACACACACCCCAAATTCCCATTGATCATGGTTCCATCCACATGAATATGACCCTATCCTCTTGAGACCCTCAGCCCCCTCCCCAATATGACTGGTCCCTGGCCATCCACACAACGCCAATATACAGTTATACAATTGAATTGTATAACTCAGGGATAGGCAACCTTGGCTCTTTTATGACTCATGGACTTCAACTCCCAGAATTCCTGAGCTAGCATGGCTCAGCTTGGAAACCTCTCCCTTTCCCCTCAGCATGGCTGGCTCAGGAATTCTGGGAGTTGAAGTCCACAGGTCATAAAAGAGCCAAGGTTGCCTACCCCTGGTATAACTCAAAAAAGCACTTAAAGGTGTAGACTGACTTCATGGACCGAACTTTTTGAAAAGTGAGATTTGAGCTTGCTTGGTGCTGAATCCAGAATTTAAGTGAAAAGTCAGTTTTTAAATTTCCACCACGCACCTGCCAGGAATTTGGGAAATATCCTATCTAAGAACTGATGCATTTCGGAATTTATCCTGGGATCCTCGTTACCGGATTCTGAAAAGCAGGAAAAGGAAAAAAAAAAAAACCATGAGGAAGAGCCTGCAAGGCAGATTTGTGCTTGCCACAAAGGAGAGAAAACGGGGGGGGGGGAAGCCTTTGTAAATGGAAGAGAAGCAAAGTTAGTCTCCTTGAGTCCCTGGCAGTATAAATGCGAAGGAGATTAATTCACAAACAAGGTACAAGTTGGGTTGCCAGGAACTGTATAACTTTTTCCAAATGCTGCTGGAGAGAGAATGAGAACATAAGCAGGACGTTTATAGGCTAGTCCCCAACTTACGGCCACAATTGAACCCAACATTTCTTTTTTTTTTTTTTTTATTAAAAGTTTTATAAATTTTACAAAAAAGAAAAAAGAATACAAAACAAGAGACAACATATACAAAAAAAAATAAAACTAAACAATACATATATAAAAAAAAAACCCCCCACCCCTCCCAAACCCCCCCCCTCCCTTCCCCCCCCCTGAGCTTCCCAGAGCAGAATATAGGCTTAAAAAGTAAAAATAAAAATTAAATTAAAAACTTTATATTTATATATATAAAAAGATTATCTATAATATATATAAAAATAAAACTTATGAAAAAACTATATAATATTTTTGTATACCCAATCTAAATTGTATAAATTTTATCCATTTGTCCCAAACAGCAAGAAACTTCTCTTGCGTTTGTTGCTTTAAGAAAGCCGAAATCTTTGCCATTTCCGCCAGATAAGCTACTTTAAGAAACCATTCCTGCAATGTAGGCAAAGATTCCTTCTTCCAATATTGTCCTACTAACAGCCTAGCGGCTGTAATCAAATTTAACATCAAAACAACCTCCTTTGTATCACAATCTGTAACAATACCTAACAAAAATAATTGCGGAGTAAATTTTACCCTCCTTCTAAAAATTCTCTGGATATTCCACCATACTTTGATCCAAAATACTTTTATCTCTCTGCATGACCACCAAATATGATAATAGGAAGCCTCCTTATAACCACATCTCCAACATTTGGGTTGCACGTCAGGGTACATATAAGACATTTTTTGTGGATCAAGGTGCCATCTATAAAACATTTTATAGAAATTCTCCCTTAAATTCTGTGCTTGTGTAAATTTGACATTTCTCACCCAAATTTTTTCCCAGGTGTCCAATGAAACTGGCTCACCAAAATTCTGCGCCCATCTTATCATACAATCTTTAATTAGTTCCGTTTCTGAATCCAATTCAACTAAAACCGCATAAATTCTCTTAATGTGGGTTTGTCTTGAATCCTTCACTTGCTTAATAAGATTTTCATCTTCTCTAAGAAAACCCACCTTACAATCCGTCTTCCATCTGTCTAGTAATTGCCTATATTGGAACCAAGAATAAATAAAGTTTTCTTGTGCTAACTCTTCCCGTGATTTTAATTGCCAGTTTTGTCCATCCCATTTAAGTAACTGTCTATAGGACACCATATCCATTTTAACCCCTCTTTTTATTGCTTCTATCGCATGCCAAGGTATAGCCCATAATGGTACTTTGAAATCACTTTTATAATATTTTCTCCAAATCCTAAGTAAAGAGATTCTTAAGATATGAGATTTAAAAGTCCAATCCATTTTTTTATTGAATATTAAATAGGCATGCCACCCATAAAGTAAGTCCCATCCCTCTAGATAAAGTATCTCAGAGTTTGTCAAATTTACCCAATCACTGATTAGTGTTAAAACCACCGCATCATAATATAATTTCAAATTTGGTACCTTAAGTCCACCCCTCTCACGGAAGTCTTGCATAATTTTAAACTTAACCCTTGGCTTTTTCCCTGCCCAGATAAATTTATTAAGACCCTTCTGCCACTCATTTAAATTAATCTCATTTTTCAAAATTGGTAACATTTGAAACAGAAAAAGAAACTTGGGTAAAATATTCATTTTTATCACTGCAATTCTTCCCATGAGGGATAATTGCAACTTTTCCCAGTTCTTCAAGTCCTTCTGTACCCTGACCCACAACCTTTCATAATTATTTTTAAATAATTTTACATTAGAAACAGACAACATCACCCCCAAATATTTTACCTTATTAACAATCTCAAAACCCGTCAGGTTAGTCAAAATCTGCTTCTCCTGACTAGACATATTTTTAGGTAAAATTTTGGTCTTATTTACATTAATCTTGAAACCCGAGACCAAGCCATAATGATGAATCAACTGTAATAAGTTTACTACAGAATAATCAGGTTGCGACAAAGTAACAACCAAGTCATCCGCAAAAGCTCTTAACTTATATTCTTTTTTATTAACATATATTCCTTTAATTTCCTGAGACTCTCGAATTTTGATCAATAATATTTCCAATGTTAAAACAAACAACAATGGCGATAAAGGACACCCCTGTCTAGTACCTTTCTCTATTGTGAAAACCTCCGAAAGACCTCCATTAACAATAAGTTGTGCTGTTTGTTTTTGATATATTACCTTAAGGGCTTGTAATATGTTTTCACCAAAATTCATTTCTTCCATTACTCTTAGCATAAAATGCCAATTCAATTGGTCAAATGCTTTTTCAGCATCTAAAAATATGAGCCCTGCAGGAACTTGGTTGTTCTTATCTAAGTATTCTAATAGATTAATAATTTGTCTAACATTGTTTTTCATATACCTTCCTGTTATAAACCCTGATTGATCTTTATGCACAAGATGATGCACCACCCTCATAAGCCTATTTACCAAAATTTTTACAAATATCTTATAATCCACGTTTAAAAGAGATATAGGCCTATAATTTTTTGGTAAAGTAAGATCTTGATCCTCCTTTGGAATCAATGATATAAAGGCACTACGCCATGAAGGAGGAATCTCTAAGCCCTGTAAAGATACCATTAAAAAGATCATTTAATGGTTGGATCATCTCCTCCATTAAGGCTTTATAATAAACAGCTGTTAACCCATCCGTACCCGGTGCTTTCCCTAATTTCAATTGTTGAATTGCTGAGGCAATTTCCTCCTTAGTAATTAAGCCATTAATTTCATATTTCTGATCCTCAGTCAATTTAGGAAAACTTGCCTCAGCTAAATATTTATTTATATCTAACAATTGTACATTAGTAGATTTATATAAGTTTTGATAATAATCCAAAAAAGATTTTTTAATTAATTCCTTCTGAGAAACTAGTTTACCCTTGTAATTTATTTTCTCTATTATTCTCTGTCTCTGTTTCTTTCTTAATTGATAAGCCAACCATCTCCCCGGCTTATTAGCATTACAAAATGTATTTTGTTTCATAAATAATAAATTGGTTGCAGCTTGATCTGCTATCAACATATTAAATTGTGACCTTAATAACTTTACAGATTCTTTAGTACTTTCATCAGAAGGATTTAGAATCAAAGCCCTTTCTTTTAATTTAATTTCATCCTCAAGTTCTCTACGTTTCTGAATCTGATTTCGCTTATAAAAATTATTCATTTTTATCAAAACACCGCGCATAAATGCTTTACCTGCATCCCATACCATTGACATTGAAGTCCCCTTGTACATATTCAAAGCAAAATAGTCCTTTAAAGACTCCTTTAATTTTTGAACATTCTTCTCTTGTCTAAACAAATTTTCATTAACTCTCCAGGATCTTCTTTCCTCTTTCTCTTGAATCAGCTCCATCCAAACTGGACTATGATCCGTCAGTGATCTAGGAAAAATCTTTACATTCTTTACTTTATTATACAAGTCCGTGGTAATCAAGAAAAAGTCAATTCTTGAAAAAGATTGGTGTCTATCAGAAAAAAAAGTAAAGTCTCTCTCCTCTTGGTTACGTTCCCGCCAATAATCCCTTAATTCCCAGTCTTCTTTCATATCAAAAAAGGCTTTAGGTAGCCTTGCTTGTTTGAGAAAAGGAGAGGAACCTTTCTTGTCCCTTTGTGTATCTAGGACACCATTCCAATCACCCATTAATACCACTGATCTATAATCAAACAATGTTATTTTTTGATGTAACTGCTTATAAAATTGTTCCTGTTGTTGATTTGGAGCGTAAAGTCCAACTATAAGTATTTTCTTACCATAAATACCAAGTTCAATCATCACATATCTCCCCTGGGGATCTGATTCTACCAGACAGGCTGGTAGGTTTTGTTTAACATATATAACAACTCCCCCTTTCTTCCCAGGAGCAGAAGATATAAAATGAGATCCCAAACGAGCATTAACTAAATATTTCTGATCTTTAAGTAAAATATGAGTTTCCTGTAAGCAAATAACATCATTAGTATGTTGCTTCAAATAATAAAAAAAATTTTTGCGTTTCTGAGGAGAATTCAATCCATTAACATTCCAGGTCAAAAACTTTGCCATCTCCCTTGGCACGCAGCCTGGAGAAGACACCATCAAACTCTGAAAGAGCTGCGTGTGTTGCATAACTCTTGGGTCTTGCTCCTCCCACCGGCGGTGATGCACTTCCAGGAGAACTCTCTTTAGGCTCTTTTTTACGTTGCTCCTTCTCTTTACGCTTATAGGCTGCACGGGTCATCCTCTGCTCTTTAACCTCCGTCTGGCGTTGCTTTACAGCTTCTATCATCCCAGCGGAAACCAAATCTAATGCCTCAGATTGCTGCTCAACTTCCTTGCCACTCAAAGATTTCCGACCAGATGAAGTTGAGCCTGCACCCAGGACCGAAGTATAAAAGTCTCTAGCTTTATCAACTGTGTTCAATCTGTAGCGTGTCCCAGCATGGCTCAAAACAATACCCATCGGAATTTCCCATCTAAATGGCATCGATCTAGCTTTAAGCTCATTGGTTAAAAAAGCAAAGTCTTTCCTGCTTCTTAAAATTTTGGATGGGATTTCCTTTAAAATGATGACATCTTGGGCAGCAATCTGAAATCTTTTATTGTAAAAAGCTTGTATAATCTCATTCCGCAGGGACTTCTTTGTAAAATAAATCACCACATCTCTAGGCAAGTTCTTCTGCTTAGCAATCCAGGAGTTGAGCCTATAAATTTTTTCCACTTCTCTCTGTAATTCTCCTTTATCCATATCCAAGGCCAGCGCCAGATCAGCAAGGACCACCTCCACCAGATCTTGATTCACATCTTCCTTGAGGCCTCTGATCCTCAGGGCATACTCCATTTGTCTGTACTGAAACATCAAAATATCTTCTTGTGAGGAGTCCACCTTCCTTTCCACATCTTGAATTTTGTCATCCAAAGAGTCAACTTTGTCTTCCACTTCCTCAAGCCTTGCATCGAGCTTAACCACCACAGTAGCCAAACCTGAAACAGCTGCCAGTATATCTTGTCGTAATTCATTATTGTTTTCTTGCAATTTAGTCTTTATCCCCGTTATCTCTTCTTTGAGATCAGATTTAATTTCTGATTTAATCTGTGAGACAAATTGATTCATTTCCTCTCTCATTTGAACTACAATCTCTCCCATTATGCCTCTAACCTCTTGTGCTGAAAGTCCAGATAGAGGAGGGGAGGGTGGTGGCTGAGCCGGTGGTACATGTTTAGATTGTTGTTGTAGCTGTGCAGTGGAAGTTATAGGAGAAGAAATAACCTTAGATATTGAGGAAGGCTGCTGCCTCTTTGAAGCCATTTTAAAAAGCACAATTGTCACTTCCCTTTCCCCTCCAGCCAGGAAGGGAGGAGGGAAAAAAAAAGAAAAAAATTTTTAAAAAGAGACAAACTATGGTCCTTGAAAGTCCAGAGTAAATCCAAAAAATAAAAAATAAAAGAGCAAACAATTCAAAAGAAAAAAAATTCTAAACCAAAAACAAAAGTAAAGGCAAAAACCAATCCTTAAAAAGGGAAAGTAAAACAAAAGAGAAAGGAAAAAAAAACTCCGACACTTTCAAAGCGCCATCTTAAATCCTTTCACTAATATAACAAAAAAAAAAAGGAGGAATAATAGTAGAAATCAAAAAATAAAAAAATTAAACACCTAAATTATAACAAAAAATCCTTTAAACTGCTCCGTCCGTTTAAAAATTACTCACCAGAATGCTATAAACACGGAGATAGAAGCGGCGGTTTCTTTTGCTTCCTAGGAAGCAAAAACAGCTGGGAGGCGGAGATCAGCAGGAGCTCCGAGGGAACACTCCTTTCACCCCCTCTAGAAACAAATCCAGAGGGGGTTCAGGGGTTCTACCTCTATCCCTGCACTCTCTGTCCCTTCCCTTTGCCCGGGAAGGGATTTCCGAGCCGCGGGCCAGCTGATGCACGCTGCGCTCCGCGGCTCTGACACTTCCCCAGCTGGACGGCTAAAAGCTAGCCGCCATCGCCGTCGCCTCAGACCGGAAGCTGAACCCAACATTTCTGTGGCTAAGCAAGACCATAGTTAAGTGAGTTTTGCCCCACTTTATGACCTTTCTTGCCACAGCTGTTAAGGGAATCCCTGCAGCTGTTAAGTCAGTAACACGGTCGTTAAGTGAGTCTGGCTTCCCCACTGACTTTGCCTGTCAGAAAGTTGCCAAAGGGGATCACGTGACCCCAGGACAATGCAACCGTCATAAATATGAACCAGTTGCCAAGCGTCCAAATTCTGATCATGTGACCCTGGGGATGCTTGCAAAGGTGGTAAGCATGAAAAACGGTCATAAGTCGCTTTGTCCAGTGCCGTTGTAACTTCAAACAGTCCTAAAGGAATGGTTGTAAGTCGAGGACTATCTTTACCAACCATCCACCTTACCAAGTATCCACTATGACAGGGGTGTCAAACTCAATTTCACTGACGGCCGCATCAGCATTGCATTTGCCCTCGGGGGGGGCAGGTGGGTATGGCCAGGGTGAGTGCGGCCTACTGGGTGGGCATGGAGTGGGTGTGGCCTGTTGGGTGGGCGTGGCCAGCTCTGCATCGTTTGCATCAAGGGTGCCTGGGGGGCCTGGGCAGGAGTGGGACAGATCTGAGGGTCTCTGGCAGAAGGAGGTTGGACCGGGGCAAGTGCCAAGGCATGGTCCACTGGAGGAGCCTCAATGTTACTCTCAGGCCATGCATGGGGGGGGGACTGGATGGTGGCACGGGCTGCCCGGAGCCCTGGGCAGCAGAGGTCAAACACCCAGCCTGGCCCTCGAGCATCTGCGGCACCAAGCCGTTTCCAGACGGCCTTGTGGAGCTAAGACTGAATACGTTTCAGCATAGGGGGCCACCACAAAATTGTACATTGGCTCCCGGCCGGCCTGGGCCAGGGCTAAGGCAGAGGGGGCCATTCCCTCACTGTTTCCAGGATGGCTTCGCAGGCCACATGAAACCACTTCGCGGGCTGCATCCGGCCCCCGGGCCTTGTGTTTGACATGTCTGCACTATGATGAGCAACCTCCCTTTTCTCCCTGCCCCAAAGCCTTTGGGGTAGCCTGAGGTAAATGGCCACCTCCATCTCCAAATCTCTTCAGTCTCCATAGGCCCCACTTGCCTCGAAAAGACCTATCGGACAGCAGTTGTGTCAGTTGCAAGGAACACAATTGACCTGAGGAAGGTGGTGCAAACACCTTGGGTATCGTTTGCAAGCCTCTTCTCAACTGATTAGATCTGAGGCAGGCAGCTGAAAACATCTCACTGGCAGACGACTGGGGGAGAAATATCAGGATACAACTGCAGTGGGCCATACTGTGCATCTCACACTATGTACAGGTGATTGTTGCTTAACAGCCATTCACAGTTACGGTGGACACCCCCCCCCAAAAAAAGCTCTAGGCTTCATTACAATTTTATGTCAAGGACTATCTGTAATGTGGTGGAATAAACCCCTCAAAAGCTACTTATGAGCCAATCCCCAAGTAATGGCCACTATAGCACCCCCCGTAGTTGTTCACCTTTACAACCAACCACAGGGACACCGTAGCTTCCCTGCCTGTCTTCCCCCATTTTCCCCCGCCCAGGTTCCCATAGGCCATTGACGGATAAACTTTTAGAGACCGAGTGCCCAAAAACCGCCCTGCCTCACTCCGCCCACCCACTCCCGCCCTGCTCCGCCCTCACCCCGCCCACCCTCAGGGCCATCCACAGCACACCTGCAGCGCCATGGTGGCCACGCCCTCCACTCGCACCCCACAGCATCTGCTGTTCAGCTGCCATGTGCTTGGCTGTGCAGCTCTGCATGGGCCGCACCTGGGGGTAACTCTTCTCCGGGGGGGCTGCTGGTGAGGAAGGGGCTACGGGGGGAGGCGGGGCTGGGGCGACAGCGTGCGTGCCCACAGAGAGGGCTCCGAATGCTGCCTCTGGCACTAGTGCAATAGGTTCACCACCACTGCCATAGGCCTTCCCTTCCCCCACTGGGTTCCCACAGGACTTAGGCCTGATTCCCACCCCATCAGGCCCCACACCTCCTCCTCCTCACTTACCCTTTGTAGAGCTCCGGTGCTTTCGGCAGTGCCAGAATAGATGGCTTCATTGTGTGGGCCTGTGGCGTGATTCAGGAAGCGACCACCACGCTCCCAGCAGCCGCATGAAATTCTAATAGCTGGGAACATGGCTGCTGCTTCCAGGATCGCACCACATGGCTGAGTGACAAAGCGTCCCGTTCTGCTTCGCTAACACAGCCTGCACAGCGCTGAGGAAAGCTCCGGACTCCATTACGGTTGTATGTCGAGGACTATCTGTAATGTGCTGGAGCAAAAGGGATACCCACCCTAACAGACAATTGGGACCACCAAGAGATGTCCTTCTCAGTCCCTTCTAACGAGACATGCCAGAAAAGAACCTGTGATGTGAATTTCCAGTCTGACCAAGTTATGACGTGTCCTCCAGATTGCCCCCCCCTCCCCCGTTCACAATTCGTTTCTTCCCCCAAATTCATTCCCCAGGTCATCATCACCTTTACATAATTGATGCTGCAAATGCAGGAGGGACCCTCTTTCCAAGGCACAGTTTTCCACATCTTCACAGAGTAAGGCCTCTAGAAGAAGGGCGTGGGTGTAGGCTTTAATCACATCCACACTGTCTGCTTGCCGATGGAGCAGGATAGAGATCACCCCTGCAGAGGAGGAGAGGAGACAATGTACAGACAGGCATGGGAAGATTCTGGATGGGCTCCCTCTTGGGAATACTTCAGATCCAGATTGATATTATTCTGGATCAAAGTCCAGAAAAAAAGCGAAATGGACAGCTCATCTTGGATAATGGTCAAAACACCATTGAGCTCCGAAGGACACCCTATATTCCTCACTATACAGGAAGTGCTCAACTTACAGCCCTGGTGGCGCAGTGGTTACAATGCAGTACTGCAGGCTACTTCTGCTGACTGCCGGCTGCCAGCAGTTCGAGTCTCACAGGGCTCAAGGTTGACTCAGCCTTCCATCCTTCCAAGGTCGGTAAAATGAGGACCCAGATTGTTGGGGGAATATGCTGACTCTGTAAACCTCTTACAGAGGGCTGTAAAGCACTGGGAAATGGTATAAAAGTCTAAGTGCTATTGCTATTGCTTACGATCACATTTCTATTGTCAAACAAGGTAGTTGTTAAGTGAGTTTTGCCCCATTTTATGACCTTTCTTGCCAGGCTTGTTAAGTGAGTGACTGCAGATAAGTTAAATAACTTAGTTGTTAAGTGAGTCTGGCTTCCCCATTGACTTTGCTTGTCAGAAGGTTGCAAGAAGTGATCACATGACCCCAGGACACTGCAACCGTCATAAATAAGAGTCAGTTGCCCAGTGCCTGAATTTTGATCATGTGATCATGGAGATGCTGCAACCGTTGTTAGGGTGAAAAACGGTCCTAAGTCTAAATGAGTTGTTCTAAGTCAAGGACTACCTGTAGTTTATATCTCAAAATAAATTGTGGTGCCAACAACTCCAAAGATCAAATCTTCAAATATAATCATAATTCATCCATATGTCAAGGAATAAGAACAGTACAAAATCAGCAAATAAAATTAGGAAAGCATGCAAAGAGTATATAATCTCTCTTTGTTTGTGTTGGGACTTCAATTCCCAACAAGTGTGGCCGAGGAATGTCTGTAGATTACATATAGTCCTCGACTTCCAACTGTTTGTTCAGTGACCATTCAAAGTTACAACATCACTGACAAAAGTGAGTTATGACCATTTTTTTTTATTATTGAAAATTTTTAAATTTTACAAAACAAATCCCTTCCCCAAACCCTCCCACCCTCCCAAACCCTCCCAAACCCTCCCCCATCTCCCCAAACCTCCCATACCCTCCCTCAACCTTCCCAGAGCTGAGTACAGGCTTAATTAAAATTTTTCAAAAAAAATAAAAAATAATAAAAAAAACTTAAAACACATATAAATCCTAAACAAATCTAAATACATTAAATTAAACAGATTATCTTCTCTAAAAGATAATAATTGCAAACATTAAACACACATTATAATATACTCTAAACATTTTCTAGTATTATATTTATATTATTATCCATCATTCTATATAGAATCCCCAAAACACAAATTTAAACATTACTTTCTTTAAATATCTATACCTACAATATAAGATCTAATCTCCCTCTTTCTTTACTCTAAAACACAAAAATAAGCATATAAACATTCATTATACCGTTAAAACTGAATACTCTTTTGAATAGTTAAACTAAATACTTAAATTTAAACTTCTTATCTAAAATTTTCATTCAATCTCCATAATCTTCTCTCCTATCAAATAAAAAAGAACTTAAAAAACATATAAATCCTAAACAAGTCTAAATACATTTAATTAAACAAATTACCTTCTCTTAAAAATAATAATAATAGAAAGAGAAAAAGAAAAGAAGAGAAAAAAAAGAAAACCAATCTTTAAACAAATTATAATATACTCTAAACCTTTTCATATCATACTTATATTATTATCCATCATTTTATAATATACTCTAAACCTTTTCATATCATACTTATATTGTTATCCCAAAACACATATTTAAACATTACTTAAAACATTAAAATTTACCAATAACAAATGCCTCCACAGTAAACACATTCCTTCTCTTATCCATAAACCTCTTAAAGGTAGCTCCAAAAAATTTATGAATCTTACTTCTCCCGCAATCTCAATAGTCTTCTGAGTACTTAAACTAAGTACTTAAACTTAAACTTCTTATCTAAAATTTTCATTCGATCTCCATAATCTTCTCTCCAATAACCAGTTCCATCCACTATAAACACAATCCTTATCAGTCTCTCTTGTCCATAAACCTCGAAAGAAGTGCTTTAAAATCTGCCCTTAAAGGTAGCTCCAAAAAATTTGTAAATCCTGCTTCTCCCACAAACTCAGGAACCAATACTTGTGAAGCTTCCTTAACCTCCTTCTTCTGTTGGTCTTTTTCTTTACGTTTATATGTTGCACAAGTTGTCCTCTGCTCCTTCATCTCGACTTGTTGAGGCCCCTCAAACTGAGATTTCACATTTTTCATTAATATAGGCTCTTCACACTGCAATTCTGCCCTTAAAGTTGCTCCAAAAAGTTTATAAATCCTACTTCTCCCGCAGATTCAGAAACCAATACTTGTGAAACTTCCTTGAGCTTCTTCTGTTGATCCTTTTCTTTACAATTGTATGTTACACAGGTTGTCCTCTTCTCCTCCATCTCTACTTGTTGAGGCCCCTCAAACTGATATTTCCCAATTTTCATAAGTGTAAGCACTTCAGACTGCAATTCTGCCTTTTTTTCTTCCAAAACTTTAAACGTGGTAGGTGGCAATGAACATACCCCCAGGACCGAAGTATAAAAGTCTTTTGCTTTAGAAACAGTATTAAGACTATAACGTATCCCCAGGTAACTCACCACCATTCCAGTCGGAACATCCCATCTAAACAAAATTTGTCTCTTTTTAAGTTTGTCTGCTAAAAAAGCAAACTCCTTTCTTCTTCTTAAAATTTTAGATGGGATCTCTTTTAAAATTATAACATCTTGTGAAGCAATTTGAAACCTCTTCTTATAAAAAGCTTGTATAATTTCATTGCGTAGGGATCTTTTCCCAAAATAAATTACCACATCTCTTGGCAAATTCTTTTGCTCTGCCACCACAGAGTTAACTCTAAATGTCTGTTCAATTTCACTAAGTATTTCCTCTTTTTCTCTATTCAAAATCACAGCAAAGTCCTTTGCAACCATCTCTCTCAGATCTTCTTGCACAGACTCACCCAAACCTCTGATTCTTAAGGCATATTCCATTTGTTTATATTGAAGCATAAGAATCTCATCTTGAAAATTTTTCATCTCTTTTTCCATGCTTTCAAATTTTCCCTCCATCAATTCCACTTTTTCTACTACTTCTTCTACGCGAGAATTCAGCTTTTCAAGAACAGAGGCAACTCCTTTTAGAGCCAAAACTATCTCTTGCCTCAAAGTCTTATTGTTTTCCTCTAAAATCTCTTTCATTTCTCCCCTAATTTGAAGTATAACATCTCCCATCATATCTTGCAAATCCTTCACCATTGTTGACTGTGCCAAAGAAGAAGGTAAAGCTATTGATTTAGATTGTTGCGCTGATGATGACACCGAAGAAGAAGCCACCTTAGGAGCTGTAGGGATTACTGGACGCTTTGGAGCCATCTTAAAAAAAATCTTTGCTCCTTCTTAGAAATTGCAAAAATTAAGCAAAGGAAAAAAAGAAATTAACTCCATAAAATCAAAAAAAAAAAAATCCTTCAAGAGGAGATCATTATAATAAAAAAGGAGTTCAAAAAAAGAGAAGAGAAAAAGAAAAAAAAATAATTAAATAGAAAAAATCCATTCCATTTTTTAAAACTACAAAAAACAAAACAAAAAAGTTAAACAAAAATAATAATACTGACACTCTATTCCAATCATTAAAAAAAAAAAAAAGGAAAAGGGAAAGGGAAAAAAGAAACACCAAAAAGCCTGCTGATCGCCATTCTATCTCCCCCCCCCCAAAAAAAAACACCGAAAGGCTTGCCGATCGCCATTTTACTTTCCCTTTCAACAAAGGAAAAAAAAATAAAAAGAGGGAATATAAAAGTAAAAATAAATCTTTAAACTTGAAATCCAAATAAAATCAAAGAAAGCAAAAACTAAATCCTCTACTCAGCTCTGTCCGCTTCTAAGAAAAACTCACCAGTTAATCGCGGAGGTGGAGGGACAAAAGCAGCTGGGAAGCGGAGACAGTCTGAACTCTGTGGGAGCACTCTTTTCATCCCCCCCCCAAAAAAACTTTGGGGGTGCATAAGAGGCTCTACCACTATTCAGACAACTCTCTTCCCCCCCCCTTGCCCGGGAGGGGGTTTTTGAACTGCTGAACAGCTGATGTCCGCTGTTCATAGCGATTCAAATACTTACCCAGGAGGACGGCTACAAAGTAGCCGCCATCGCGCGCGCAGATCCACCGGAAGCTCCAGTTATGACCATTTTTCAGACTTAACAACATTGCAGTATCCCCTGATCACATAATTTGGCTGTCCACTGGCTCATATTTATGACGGTCGCGATGTCCCGGGGTCATGTGATTACCTTTTGTGACCTTCTGACAAGCAACGTCAATGGAGAAGCTGGAATCACTTAACAACCGAGTTGCTAACTTAATAACTCCAGTACAGTGGTTCTCAACCTTTTTAATGCCGCGACCCCCACCGGTCGTAAGTTGAGGACTAAACCGGTCGTAAGTCGAGGACTACCCAACCAGTCGTAAGTTGAGGACTTTCCCTGCCCGGGAGCGCCGTGCATGCATGGTGCCACCCCCTGCGCCGGCCGAGGTGTAGCTGGCAAGCGGCAGAGACGGAGCAGACTAACTACCAGCTGGGCCACCAGCTGGCCCAGCCCAAGGGAGGTAAGGCACCCGCCAGAAAAGGGGAAAAAAATGGTGGACGGCCTTGCTTGGCGACCCCCGTGAAATGGTCGATCGACCCCAAATGGGTTCGCGACCCATAGGTTGAGAACCGCTGCTCTAGTGATTCCCTTAATAACTGTGGCAGGAAAAGTCATAAAATGGGGCAAAACTCACAACAACTGTCTTGCTTAACGATAACAATTTGGGGCTCAGTTGTGGTCGTAGGTCGAGGACTACCTGTATTACTATAACACGTATCTCTTCTGGAAGCCCAGAATGAACTCAAAGATCTCCACCCAAGGACTCCATGAGGTTAGTTGGACTGAGAAACGATGATTGGTCCAAAGTCCAGCAAACTTCTCATGGGGCCTTGATCTCAGCTCGCCCTTATCTCAGCTCAGGACTATCCAGCATACCACACCTATCCTCCATGCCAGAAATTCCTTCTCCTGCAAGAAATTATGATCAGTTAACTTCACATCTTCCTACAATATGATCGTACACCCACCTGCTGGTCGGTTGAAGAAAATTAAGTAATTTGAAGCATTGCCTTCAAGAGCTTTCTGGAAGTCAGCAACACTGTTGAGGATTGGAGAAAAACATACAAATAACCAAAGTTAAAGAAAGATGCTTTGAGGCTGGGAAGACCTTCTTGTCAGTCTCCTAAAGAATATTTTCAGCGCTGAGAAAAATGTT